ACTGTGGGTCAATCTCTCCATAGTTCAGGCTTCGCTTCCAAGGGTTCGTCTCCGTCACGTATGATCCTGATCCGTAGCATTCACTACCCCATTTCTGTATGGCTATATCTTGTTATAACAACACCCTTAGAGTAGTGCAGTATAACGACAACTAATAAAAATTATAATTATGAAAATTAATCTGTTATTGTCTACTGCCACTTGTCCGGATTTACACGGCGTCGTCCCGCGATCGTATTGCTTCTAAAAGCCTAAACGATCTTTAAGCAGGCCACAGCTGCATGGGGTTTTAGTATTACTTTCCTGGGTCGAACTTGCTCAGACTTCAACAACGGTACCTCGATTTACTGGTACATCTAGTAAAAATTAACCTCTACATTACGGGTTTACTAGCTACTTTTCGATATCGCCGGTGAGAATAATAATCATCTGTTACTTCTCAGGACAGATTTACAGACGTAGTCCTTTTCGGCAGTATATTTGTTTAATATATATCGCTTCAGGTCGTCGCGTTCTAGTCAACCAGGACCCACTTTATGTCACTGCGGGTAAGTAGAACGAGTTGCGCTATAATACACCAACTGCAATACATAAAAAAAGTGTAGAGTTGCGCTAGAATGTAAATGCAGGTACAAACTTGAACACTGTTCGTTCATGGGGAGGGGGGATTAGGTCCTTGATATTCCAAGTGTCTTACTGCACAGTTCAACGTCTTAATTTTATTTAACATACTCTCGACTTTACGAGTTGTCGTTGGCTTGCTGTCAACATGCAGCAGTAAAAACAATTCCAACTAAAGTCGGATGCACGGTGTAAGATTCGGTACTATGAGTGAGCGAATTTGGGTTAAATTTGATAGCTTGCTAGTTTGATAGCTACGTTCATATATGGCTTAGTTCGGTGTTACTGTTCCTGTACAATTCAAAACTGACGACTGAGTTTCTCAGGTAAATAAAATGCAATGTTTAGAACATCGCCGCTCTCAGCCTTCATCCAAAGTACGGCGGCTGGTTCGCGTTTCGCGGAGTTTTGATCTTCCCCTTGATTGACGCCAGTCAGTTGGAGCGCAAAGAGGCGGTTAGGAAACTGACGTCAGAGGAGGCGATTGTTTGGGCCCTCGAGCGGTTCAATTTCAAATGGAAGGACGCCACGTATAGAGATTCGTATCCGGTGGCCGAAAAATACGACTCGAAGCAGCGCGAGTACTTTACTACAAGGCCCAGCGAGCGCATAAGCTTGCTGAGTAAATGGCTAACAGAAATGAGCGGGGGCAACGACGATGCTATCGACAGCGTAATGGCCGAAGGATTACAGAGTTAGCGACCGACTGGTCTTCTCTCTTAGGTGTTTCAAGGTCTTAATTATACGACATTGTTACTGTTGTTGTTGCGTTTTGATGCCGTTTCACACATCACAGCCGTTGATCGCCTTAGAAGAATAAAACTCAATGACTACAGTTGAAACCGAGTCCGCTCAGCACAATTGTTTCTCTAAAATCAAAAGCAACAGTTTTCTCATGTTACCGATTTTTATTCGTAATCTGCGTAATCATAATACACAGTAAACAAATTCATCTATGTCGCATGTCATCAGCAGCTGGGATATCATGTGATGACAGCTCGATGGCAGACGATGTGACGAAACGAATGAATGACCGTGGTTGAGTCCCCATCTACTTTGAACTCTGCGAAAGGAGGTGTTCTTCTTGCTTTAAGTTGCCGTCATTCACATGTCTAAAGTAACGTGTTAAGTGAACGTTCGAAGAGCGTAACTCATAATTTATGATTGCTTAAAGTTGGCAGCAGTTAACGAACCTGAGCCTTTTAAGGTATAGATAACTCTTAACATATTTAAGCTTTATATCTTTAGTTAGAGCTCACAGATTTTGAGAAGATACGCTAACAGGAATATAATAATTATTTATTTACGTCACCTTTTATATGCTCTGCCTTTTCATGAATAATAGAAAACA